TAAATCAAGTTGTTTCCTATCAAAAGGTATAATTTAGTCGAAAAGAATTAAATTAATTCATGTTGTACGTTTGATGAAATGAACCTTCAATCATTATTTTCTCTCAAAAATATAAATTACAAATTATCATGTCAAGAAAATAACATTTTGCCACTGAATTAACAATTCTTATGACTGCATAGGTTATGAGTTATAACAATATAGTTGAAATTGAATCTCACAATGTTCTTTAATTTTTACTATCTATTGGATTGAATTTATTTATTTTTTAAAAAGGTTTTGTAACACAATTTTTGTGGAATACTATAATGATTATTTTTTTTAATAAAAAGGACATTTACAAGAACTTATCATAAACATAAGACGATTAGATAAAGCCACGTTGTTTGAGAGGTTAAACCTTTTTATTAAAACGGTTAATTATTCATTAATTTCCGATAATCAGGGTGGAAACAAATTTTATTTATTAATTAGTTGGATATAATCCCAAAATTTTATGTGCTTTACAAGAAATAATAAGACAAGAAAGACAGCCATGCTTACAACTACCACATTATTGAACAATCGAACCCCAAAAAGTTTATTTGCAGGTTACACACCCCCCTCCCCCCCCACCCCCCGCACTATTTCTCGATAAAAAATTTACTTGTATCTGGTATTTATATTTATGTTAATCTATGAATAAATTACAAATATCTTTAACTTAATACTTTATTTCTTATTGCTAATGTTAATTATGATTAATTAATACATAATCTAACTTTAATATTGACTTAATCATTATAAAGTAGTATACAGATACTTTCATGTTTTGACCGATTGAATCTCATAGTGGAGCTTAGAGAATGAGGAAATTATTTATAGGGAGTGCTTTCATTATACCAAAATAAATTTGAATTAGTCGAATGATGAGCAACTTACAAGTACCACATGATTAAATCAGAAAACGAATAAAATTTCAGAAATTCATAATATAAAAATTAAGTTGAATATCTTTGAAAAAAACATTTTGCTTGGGAAAAAGAGAAGGAAGAATAATAATCTAATGTACTTAGATTAACACAATTAAACAAATACCCTATCTAGTAATAATCCCCTTAATAAAAATAAATGTATGGTAGTGAAGTCCTTCGTATTAAGACTTAATTAAAGATTTTTGTATAATTAGGATTTAGCCATGCAGTACATTTTTTTATAGCATTCCACTTGGATTTGTTGATCTACCTAATAATACTACTACTTGTACTTTCCTTTATTAATTAATATATAATTTAAAAAGTGGTTTTCCCCTCCCTACCCCCAACCCCTTCACAACATCTCCACCAAATAATTGGTGAGTAATCGTCCATTTTTAATTAAAAAATTTGTGTTTGAATTTTAAGAATAAAGTTGTGTAAAAAATATTTTATCCTAATATGAGATTTTCCTATATAACTTCAAATTTATTAGATTTCAAATGTGATGCTAAATATCAGATAAGAAATAAAAAATAATAATACAAGTGAAATTTATAGTCTTAATTTTATATTCCTAGTCAATTTTTATATTTTCTCACTTTGTAGTTTTAATTTTTACTTATACAATAAATACTTGCATAACTTTTCATGCTAGTTGAAATTTACTTGATAAGAAATTTATGTATCTTAGGACAAGTGTAGATACAATAACCGTTTACCGAAGCTTCGATCGTTTCATCGGGTCATCAACTTCCTTGACTTGTTAGCTTTACAATAGAATTTATCTTCATCATTATTTATTTATGAGTAAATAGGTTTAGCAAACATAAAAATCATATTTGTATGTTATAACTATAGTTTGTATAATTGCGCTCCATAACAAACTTTATGTTTGCTATGACTATTAATATGTATATTTCGGTATACATATAAAAAAGAATCAATTGTATAATCTGTTTCGGTATACATATACAAAAGAATCAATTGTATAATCTGTTTCGGTATACATATACAAAAGAATCAATTGTATAATCTGTTTCGGTATACATATACAAAAGAATCAATTGTATAATCTGTTTCGGTATACATATACAAAAGAATCAATTGTATAATCTGTTTCGGTATACATATACAAAAGAATCAATTGTATAATCTGTTTCGGTATACATATACAAAAGAATCAATTGTATAATCTGTTTCGGTATACATATACAAAAGAATCAATTGTATATTATGTTTGTATAAAGCGAGAAAGACAAAAGAAAATTGGACAGGGAAATATCTGTATTTGTATAATTATAAGTGTATAGGATGAAAATATATATGTATTTGTATTTGTATATACAATTTTCTCTCGTTTTATACAAACACAAACACAATTTATACATTTGTGCTTGTATAAAGTGAGAGAGGCAAGTGAGAGTGGCGAGCGAAATCTGGGACAATGGCGAGCAAGATTCTTTGGGGAGAGAGGCGAACAAAAATATGTATATATACAATTTTTTCTCACTTTATACAAACACAAACACATTTTATACATTTGTGTTTGTATAAAAGTGAGAGAGGCGAGGGAGAGACTGCCAGTGAGAAAACGAGAGTGGCGTGCGAGAATTTCAGTGAGAGAGGCGAATGGCAACAATTTGCTACGGGTTACAATTAAATCAAACTATGATTATAACATTTAATTTGAATTAATAGTTTACTATTTTATATAATTTTCTCTTTATTTATTGTGCGTAAAAGAAATTGAACATTAAAAAAAAACTTGTATTGAATAATTAATTTTTTATCAACCCCTTTAATTTAGTGTTCTTATAAATTCACTGTGAGAAACGTTATTACTTTTCACAGGTAACTAATCTGATTTTAAATTTATATGTGGACTAAATTCTGTCAAGAAGGAAATAAATGATAAACAAATTAAGTGAAGCATATAGAAATAATAATTAAATTTATTGGGTTCAGTTATTGAGTTCGACTGAACCGTAATGATATCACAATTCTATTTCTTATGTTGATCTACCAACAATAGATAGTGGTCCATAAAATGTCCAAATTCTTCATTTTCGGCATCACTTAAATTTTGATTGACTTGTAGTAACAAGTAGTACTAGTATCCTTTGTAGTAATAACTCTCTTTTAGTGGGATTTCATAGAGAAATATTGAATTTGAATGAATCTATCTATACATTTAATTATATTTATTAACGCATACAAAATAAGCAATTCTTTCATTGAGCCATCATCATAATTAATATCATGCTTTAAATTTGAAGAAATGATTTCTTGTAACTATTTACGACTTGAATAAAAAAAAAATTAGGAAAAAATTGTGTGTAAAAATTAAAATTAAAACCAAATTTATATGAACTTACAAAATCAAATCTCACTCTTCAATTCCAATGAATGAACTGTGGAATGTATTTATTAAATGAAGTATGTTACTTGCGGTCAATGTTTATATAGACGGAGCGAGTATTAAGAGTGTTCTAAATTTCCTTTTGGAAGATTAGAATTTGTTGATAGTAGAATTAGAACCACAACTTGTGCTTGTAAAATATTTTAATAATCTCTTTTTTACCCCTAAACGCTTAATAAGTTTTATTAGAATTCACGAGTTAATATAAATATATAATTTTTTACTATAACTACAAATTTACAAAAGTACTACAAAATTTATTTGAACCTACGAATCCCACCTAGCTCCACTCCTGGCGGAAGCTTTTGCTGGCGAACACTTTATTATGTTGGAGTCATCAATTGTTGTCGTGGTGTTATTGCTGGACACAATAGACTACATCATGCACAGTACATATCCACTGGGAAACTTGTTGCTTTTTTATTGCGGTTGTGGATAATATATACTCTCCCAGTCTTAATTTATTTATTATTTTGATTTGATTTAATTCAAAGTTTTAAAAAAATAAATTTACACATAGAAGCAAAAATATACTAGTTAATTAGTTAATATAGTTATAGTTTGCTTTATAATTTGCGATCTACTTTTAGCTATATTTACGCGCTAAGCTTTTTAATTTTGTATGATTCGCACATTTATATAATTTGAAATTTGTATAATATAATTTGTATAACTTTTGTATAATTCGGAATTTGTATAACCTGTTTACACTTCTGATGTTTGTAATTGTATAATTCGTTATTTCGAGTTTATACAAAAATGATTGAATTATACAAATGTATCCGCAAATTATACAAATCCGCGAATTATACAAACGAGACAGCTTAAATTGTTGCTACAACCCATAAATATGCAAACTATAACTATGGAGCATAATTAAATTTATTACAGTGGCCATTTGCGAAAGTTCTCAAAAAAAAAAAGATTTTGAATTTTATGATTTTAAATTAAAATATGTCAAAATATAATAAAATACTTTTTAATCTTATAATGTTAAACATGAAGTGAAAATTTGATATTATGATTTCAAAGAAAAAGTACATATTATGTTATGATTTGGCCCTAAAGCATGATCTGATAATGGCATAATCGAATGCTAAGACCTTCAAGTTATATATATGCTACATTTTAAAGAATAGGTTATCCATTTTATAAGCCATGTTAATTAACCATTGCTATATTTCAACTCAAAGCATTTAATATGGAGAAAAGAAGTTAGTCGATATATCGTACTATAACTATTCGATAATTGCTAATTCGTTACTCAATCAATTAATATTTTACGGTTGGCTAGCGGATTAGTTTAATTTTAAAATCGATAATTCATAGATTAAACCAATAAATATAATTATCTATCTGATCCATCCTATAAGCAGTCATAGGAAGGAGAGTGTGAGTCTATTATTTATAAATTTAGGAGGAAGTTCGATTTTTAAACCGAGGGAATTTTCACCCTTATAATACTAACAAGTACATTGATTGATTAACATATTATATACTCACTTTGACAAATATTTATTCGTTTGTATTTGATTTGACACATTGTTTAAAAAATAATAATTTTATTATATACTCATTCATATTCAATATGTACTACTCCATTGCATATGTTAATGATTAAAAATCCGGAACATATAAATAAGAAAAACTAATAAGGGAAATTAGAATTGAAAGAGCAAATTGGGCGAAAATGGTGGCACTATCACTGTACAAGGGAAATCTCCATAGAGTACCTGAAACTCCACGTCGATGGCTAATGCCAACCCCCAAAATCTCTCTCAAGGACTTCCGATGTCTCCTCCGTCGCCGGTCCCGAGCCCTCTCTCGCCTCCCAACTCCTCCCGATGTCTCTCCTACCACCGCCACCGCTTCAAACCCTAACCCTAACCTCAAAACTGATACCAAATCCAAACCTGAGGAGGAGGTTCCTGTTTCGGTCCCAGTAAAGACCGAGAAGGAGGAGGAGGATGTTCGAGTGGAGAATGTGGAAGTGCCGGAGAAATTGGTTGACTCATCTGCTGTCGTGGTTGAACCTAAGCTTGAGGTTTTGGAAAACGATCAGAAATTGTTGGTTCCGATGAACCCCTCCGGTTTGGAGGTATTGAATTGCAATTATTGATCTATTTTGTTTGCAATGGCGTTATCCATGTATTTTGCTGGCTTTTAGTTAAAATTTGCTTATGCATCTTTCTGTTTTCTCTTAGTAAAGAAGGGATCCCAGCCAATTCAGGGTAGAAGTTAAGGGGGTGTATACCTTATGAAGTTTTTTACCCTTTTTGCAATGAGGCTGCTCCAAGTCTGGACTCTCCAACCATGACCTACAGCTTTTCCTCATTTTTGTTTATTATGCTTAGGGAGTTCTAAATATATGTCATAAAGAAAATATGTATCAGATGATTTGTAAGAACTAATACTCTTTGTTTCTATGGAAGAGTGTAATACTTTATGTGTAGTTGGTTTAAGACTAGCATTATTTTGGCAGAAGCTTCATGTACTGATTAGAGATGAGGAGGTGTATTTGCCCGAGGATTGGGATACTTACATTAAATCTGTTCGGTGAATACTGCTTTCAGAAATTAATGATTAATGGAGAGATGGTGAATGCCACATGCTACATTGGATTTATGAGATGGGGAGAAGAGTCGATCTTTCCATATAGGGTGCCCATGAAGGTGTGTTTCCTTGCTTGATTAGGAGCGGGGGAAGTGATATTGATGGCTGAGAACTTGAGGTAGAAGAGGAGCACCTATGTTGGTGCTACATCACCTATGTTGGTGCTACATCTACAGATGTTTGGGTGAATACGTAGACCTATCCCCTGTTACATTTTCAGGTGGTTGTGCACTCATTGTTGGCAATTCTGAATCGTTTTGTGGATAAAATGGGCATTCGACAGAGTTTCCACTGTGCCGGGAGAATTCTATAATTCCAAACTTGTCACCTACTAGTTTAACCAGAACCCAACATACTAAATTTAAGAGGATATCAAAATATGAAGTCGGTTGCTTTCACAAAACTTTAGACGTTCCCAGTTACTTCTTTACTGACACAAGCCAAAACCAAATTTATGAGTCCGACACAAGGAGCAAAACTCTAGGATTTAAGCAAAATAATATACTACATTAGTGTAAATAGAATGATGTCCCATGCGAAGCAAGTGAGGAGCTTGCCAGATCTGTTGTTAGCTCTGTCTGAGTCGAAGTGTCACCCTCAACTGAATTATCTGTGGGGGAAAAGAAAGGAGTGGGGTTCAGTTGCACCGACTGTGTGAGTAATAACATCAACCATAACATTTTATATGGAACAAGCATACATAAGGAATCATGCAATTTATAAGATCCTCAACTACGTCTTATTTAAATCAATATAGCCTAAGTTGCTCGGGTGCGGGTGTCCGATACGGGTGCGGATCTAGAGGTCAGATGCTATATGATCTAAATTTTTAGATTCGGGTATACGGATCCATGTATGGATACGGGTGCGGGGGTTCGGCTAAAAATAATTCAAATAGCTAAAAGTAGAGTTATAAAGCCCAAGTTATGAGATATTATATGGAAAACTTGAGGAGAAAATCTTGATCAAGAGGAGAATCCTGGAAGGAGATAAAAGGAAAGGGAGTGACAATAGAAATTTATATATACAAGGTATTTCATTTTCTTCAATTTCACCTTAGTTTTTGTTTTGCGCACAAAAATCATTGAATCTGTCCAAAATTTCTCCCTTGAATTTGGTCAAAGTACCCCAAATTGGTTGACCATATATCCTTATATAGTGGGAGATACCTTGACTAGAATCGATGTAAATTCGAACACCACAAGTCTATCATGGTTGTCTGACTACCCCGTCAGCTAGGTTCCTAGAGGGCTCAAGTGTGAATGCATATTACTAGTTCTTTCCTGCTAGCGTAGGAAAATATTATACAAGGTGCAACCAGGTCTAGTGATCTCAACGTTAGATAACGGTGATCTAGCAAAGCTTACTCCTGAAGTATCTTCCTTACAACAACATACCCAGTATAATCCCACATAGTTAGGGTCTAGGGAAGGTATAGTGTACGCAGTCCTTACCCCTACCTCAGAGGTATTGAAGTATCTTCCATATAGTACAAAATGTTGTCATATTTTTTGTGTGTCAAGAATTTATTCCAATAGTATGTATAGCAATTCATAAATAACATAGGTTTAAGGATAATCAGTATGTCGAAGTCATTGTAAAGATGATTTAGTACATATCCAATTATGGACCATACAATCACTTGTCCGAGTGCAAGTAATCGATTTGTTTTTTATAAATCGTTTCAATGCTAGAAAACAATTTAAATCATGCTATAATTGAAAATCAACTATGAAAAAATTATTACTCAGTACTATTTCTGAAAAGCTCCAATTTGCTTCCAATAATTGCGTCGTCGAAGTATCAATTATCTTACAATAGGGTATAACTTTTGATTATTAATCATTCATAGAACTCGTGAAATTAAATATTTCTAGCAATAAGATTTCAATTTCCCAATTCGACTCTAACATTAAGTCGAGGTGGGTTTATTAGTTTGGCTGTATTCTCCATTCTAAAAAAGGTTATCAGGAATCCTAAATAGCCAATAATGAAACTGCTAGTTCAATGAATAAAGACAAAACTAGTGTTTATATCATGTTATTCCGAGCCAACTTTAAATAAAGTGTTGTCTTAGCACCGTTTTGGGAAAAATATATTTTCGATCATCAAGTTTGAAACCTAAATAAACGTCTTCCCCAAAGTGAAAGCTTCTTTATAATTCCAGATTATTGCCTCCTCAAATCTCCATTTATGAACAAGGTATTTCTCCTTTTGATGTACTGTTGAATCTTATGCTGAATACCTCATTAATTTAAGATCATTTCACTCCTAACTCGTACTCTTTTATACCCTAAAGAAGAATTTAGTTAGTTGAATAGGTTGTAAAGACTCACCTGAATTGTGATTAGAGAAAAAAATGATTCTTCTCCTCTAGCTTGTGCTTAGGGTTCCAAAGGTAGTAACTTATATTTATGATCTTGAAGTTTTTTTTTTTTTTTTTTGCTTTCTTGCTTCCTTTCCTTTTTTTCCCTCTTCCCTGTAGCTCTCATTTCCCCCTTGTGAAATGCTGCTGGAAAGCTTCCTCTTAAAACCAGCGCTGCTGGCTTTTATCTCTATTGCCAACCGCTCCTCTTCTTTTTTTTCTCCTTTCTTAATAGCCGATGGGTCAAGGGATAATGGACTAGCTATTTTAGTTACTCACTTATTTTTAATGGGCCAAGTCCAATTCTTTAAGTCATTGCACACGTTGTGGGTCAATGTTATTTGGTCTCTTTTTATGGTCTTATCCATTCCTCCCGTCGTGAGCTAGCTTTTGGGGTTGAGTAGGCCGCGGTCCAATTCTTTATCATGGTATCATAGTCAAGCCCATCCCAATTCATGTTTACCTGATGTTGGGCCTCCCATCTTATATTGTCTACGCTCCAAAGGTTCAACCTTGAGCGTGTGCGGGGGGTTAAGGGCTACCTAATCTTTATATGATTTGGGCAATCCTTCCCTCATGAGCTAACTTTTAGGATTGAGTTAGATCCAAGGTTGATTTCTATATCAGAAGGTGAGCGAGAAGATCGAGGGCGTGGGATGATGCTCCATTAGCCTTTATGTGGGTTATATTGAAAGAGAAAAATAGGATAACATGTGAAGGGGTTGATAATGACTCTGTAAAATTGAAAAAAATAGCGTCTTCTGTCTAAAATCTCTTTGGTGTACCTATGAGGTTCCTATTTGTGTAGAAGATCGGATATCTTTTGTAGAGAACCATACGTTTCTTTAGGTTTCTATACTTTTTGATAAATGGCTTGTATACCGGATTTCCCCATCATTGATAGTATTATTTACTAAATTAATGAAAAAGGAGAAATGGTGAATGAAATTGCCTTATTGAATATATGGCAGCTGTTTGAATAGTGCTAATTATGTCTTACACATTTTGATTGAACAGCATCATTAACTGCAAAGGCACAATATCTTATGCTAATGACTTCCTTTTCGTCTTCATTCTTATTTGCTGTCCATTGGTACCTTTGTTCTTCTCTTACCTCTTATTTGTGCATTCATTCATCTGTATTTTATATGTTATTTGGCAGTTGATCCTCTTCTAAAATTTACCAAAAATTGATTAGCCTAGTTCTCTTGACATGGCTCATTGTAGATTATAGTGAATTCTCATACTTATGTCTGAATATGTCCCAACTGCCAATGTGGTTAGCAGAGAGCGGTGGGATGGGGGTGGAAGGCTTCTGATATGCAAAATATATGATTATATAAGTATTATGTTTGAGATCATGGTCAACTATACATTTGGTGCATAATTTAGAATAAGGACCAACGCAAAATTGTTTTCTTCTTATTTCGATTTGTTAGCTTTTTAATTATTTTTTTTATCACTCTCCTTGCAGACTATCAACAAAGAGGATGGAACTGATAATCAGAAAAAAAAGGAGATTGAGGATAAATTACAAGTTCTGAATATGAAAAAGCATGGTTTGGTACAGTTACTAAAACAGGTGATCTTAATGTAAAACAATCTGAGGAGGAATTGAAACTTTTACATGATGTCTCATTTTTTATTTGTTCTGAATATCTGTCAAATTGTGTAAGGACTTGGCATGATCATTTTTTGTTCACAAGTATTGGCTTTTGGCAGATTTTGAATGCAGAAGAGGAGCTAAAGAGACGGAGCATGCAAGGTATGGCAGTGCGGCCATCACTCCCACTTCAAGTGGATACTACAAACGACACTGGATCTATAACTAAACTAAACACACCTAGAATGGGCTCGGATGGTAACCCCATTGGTGAGGTGGATGGAGATGGAGGTGATGATGCATCCAACCAGAACACACTTTCTCGGAATTTGCTTCGTATGAGCAGTACATCACCATCTTCAGATTCTCAACTGAGGAAGACCCCCTATAATGTGGTAAATTCCCTATCTATGCATGCATTGTTACCTTTGGCCTTTCATTTGTGGCGCTAACACCAGGAGTGGAAAAAGAGAGTTTTAATTTTCTTTCTAATATAATTAGTTCTAGCAAAGATTCAAAAAGTTTTAAGTAAAGCTGATAGCATGAAAACAACTACATTCAATATGTGCAAGACCGCAAGTTAGTTCATCATATTATTGCTGGTTCACTCCCTTGAACCAAAGTCTTCTACTTATCTTCTTCCTCAATGGAGCAGATCTTAATTTTTCTGACATAAAAGCATGTCCAAGGCATCTCGAAATGTGTGCTCCTGGTCAACATGTGCTGAAAATTAAGGACCCCATATTGAACTTCTATTGGACATGAAATTTTGTTACAATTGTGTGTCAGCTGTAACTAGTTTTTTGAGCTGTTCCAATCATTTTCTGCCACTTGTTGGACTAATTGGACCTTGCAATAAATGATGTTGTTACTTTGCACATGCCATAATCAAGGATCTAGTGCTTTGACTAAGGAAAGATACATTATATATATATATATATATATATAATGAAGAAGTTTATGTGCTATTTTACCTTGTTAATATTAGTTGTAAGAGCAAAAATTACATGGTGGCCATTTTCTTCACTGCAAACTGGGAATTAACATGTGGGATGAGGGATTATTGGAGTTATATATCAGCCTTCAACCACTTCCCCTTGATGTGAAATTCTCAGTTCCTTTTCTTTGTAAATAATGAAGTTCCAGAGGCTGTACGATGTTTGGAGACTTGAATCGAGAGGTATATATCTAGATTACATTAGAGCAATTAAATACATGTACTATGGAGCCAAGACCCGAGCGAGGACAGTGGGAGGAGACTCAGATCACTTCTCCGTCGTGATGGGGTTGCACCAGGGATCAACTCATATCCCATTTCTATTTGCTTTGGTGATGGATGTACTAACACGACTTATCCAAGGAAAAGTGCCATGGTATATGCTCTTTGCAGATGACAGTGTGGATTAATGAGACCAGGATAGAGTTAACAAAGAGAGGAACCTGAGATACTTCCAGAACAAAAGTAACAGCATCCAGAAGATGAAGATGAATTGCTTGGTTTTATTTCATTTTTGGTGTAAACAGGAGTATATGGAAGATCTAGAATCAGTAATGAATGCTTTAGGCACCTTGTAATTTTTGTTATTTAGGATTGAAGATCTTCCTGATACTCTCCTTTTATTTGTAATTAGTAAACCTGTAACAAGTTGTGGCAGGTTTGATTTTTTGGAATATAATACAAGACTGTTACCTTCTCAAAAAAAACAAAACAATAGGTGCCTTAACCATATGTTGGAAGTTTGGAGACAGACGTTGGAGTCTAAAGAGTTCGGGTTGAGTAGGACTAAGACAAAATACTTGAAGTTCAAGTTCAATGACGTAAAACACATGGTAGATGTGGAAGTTAGGATTGAAACAAGTCATCCCAAAGAAAGAAAGTCTTATTTATCAAGTCACATGTCAATAATTCAAGAAAATAGGGAGATAGACGATGATGTTACACATCGTATTGGAGCGGGTGGATGAAATAGAAGCTAACATTCAGTGTCTTTTATGATAAGATTGTACCACCAAGCCTTAAAGGTAGGTTTTATAAAGTGGTGGTCAGACTAGCTATGTTATATGGACGGAGTGTTTACTAGTCAAGTACTCGCATGTATAGAAGATGAGAGTAGTAGAAATGAGAATGTTGAGTTGGCTGTTTGGGCATACTAAGAGTGATAGATTAGGAATGAAGCTATCCACGACACTGCGGGATAGGCCGCCTTGGTGGACAAGATGAGGCATGTGAGGCTGAGATGGTTCGAACTTGAAGGAAACATGCACAAACACCCCAATAAGGAGGAGTAAGAGGTTGGCTATAGTGGATGTAATGTGATGTAGAGGTAGACCGAGAAGTCTCAAGAGAAATGATTAGACAGGACATGACTCATGCAGCTTACCTTAATGTGGACATGACCTTGGTCCTAGATTGGAAGATATGGTGGTCAAGAATTAGGGTAGAAGGTTAGTAGGTCGAGCGTTGTCTAGTTCTCTCTTACTATCTTATTCTTCGATTTTAGTATATTACATGATGTTTCATTTGCTTCCGTTATTTTAAATTTTTTGGTGTTGCTACTGCTCTCTTTGTTGTTTTCAGCATGACTTCGATTTTAGTATTACATTATTGTATTTGCTTTGCATACTTGTTTTTTATATGCTTTACCTGAGTCGTGTATCTGGTAGATACAACCTCTCTACCTTCAAAAGGTAGGGGTAAGGCTGTGTACACACCATCCTCCTCAGACCCCACTTTTGGGATTACAATTGGCCCAGTTGAACTGGGTATGTTTTTATTGGAGCTCCAGATGAAGATCAGGCAATACTTTTCTTGACGAATTGCTTTACTAGGAGGAAGGCTGCTGATACTGCATTAGTTGCTTACATCTGGTTTTCACTAGAGATCTTTTTCATATTATACATAAATATGCAGGCTACCGTAGAAACTACTATAGAATTGGATAATCCGTAGTGAATAAAATTATCTTGGGTCTGTTTTGTTTTCTCACTCCATGTAGCATGGGCACTTTATCAGATACCTATTCAAGTATAGTTTAAGGCTCCACCTGCAAGGACTTTTCTAACTTTAACTTCTTCCAATTTTCGCAAAGTAGACTATTTGTTAAATTAAAAGTAGATATATATTAGAATCTAGCTATTAGTAGTCCTTTGTAATTATAATGATGAACAACAATATATTTTCCTAATCACATGTTAGTTGATTTGCTAGTTACTTAACTAAATAGTTCTTACAGTATCCTGAGGCTATTTTCCTTTGAGGTCTACTTTGATATATAGGGTGAAACGGTAGGGCAAGGTGACAAGACACTGAAGAAAACAGCTATAAGAAAAAAAGATATGCAAGCAGATGAAGAATAGTTTTCTCATAAACCAGTAAAAAAAAAGTCATGAGATTACCATTAAGTAGCTTATCTAGTAAAAATTTGAGTCAGGGGAGCAGGGAGCTAATTATACACCACAGCTTCCCCCTCTTAGTGAATCAGATAAAAATCAGTTCATAAAAAAATCAGCCAACTGGTTTATGAGAAAACTAATTCTTAAATAGTATGTAATAGCTTAGATAAATTTCACTAGTTCAAGAAATCCATTTTCACTTGCTGTCTATTTTTTCAGGTTCCTCTCGCTTCACGATCTGTTGGAGTTACTGTTAGTCCTTCACGGTTTGCACCTCCGGGACAGCAAGGGCAACTCTCAAATCTCCCCCCAATGTCCCTATCTGGAACGAACTTTGTTGCCTCCTCTCCTTCTCCTGTAGCATCAGGCGGCACTTCAGCATTTCGGGATCGGTTTGCAAGCCCATGAAATTGGAAGTTGTGCTGGTTGTTTCTACGTGTCAAGGTGGCCTAGCAAGTGGTTGTTACTCCTCCTGTCAGCTGGCTTTCTGTTCTCTCTACCTCATTCGAAGTTTCAAACTGGCTAATCTGTGAAGCTGTAAATCATTCTGTAGTTCCAAATTGCTCATTCACTGTAAAGGTAGTAGTGAAGATGCAGTGTCTTAAGTCTGGTGCCTTCTAGTTGGAAGTATAGTATTTCTGTTAATCTGGCTAGGTGTGTGTCCATCTGGTCCTTATGAAGTTTCCCTGATTATGTTTTTAGTTCTTAAAAGGTGTTAGAAATGAATATCCTATGTACATATGTGATGCCATTTTGCTTTTAAGTCGTTAAGTTCTATTACTTGTTAAACAATGTGATTGTCCTCATTCAGATTTCAATGCCTTATCTCAAAGATCCCGAATGAAGTATGTCATTGGTGTGTGATTCTTCCCTGAAATTTGACAGAACATATTAAATGTATTAGACAGAGACTCGGAGTAGGATCAACTCCGTGTGTTCTCTTGAGAAGTGGCAACATAATGGAAATACAAATTGACTCGTTTTGAGTTTGTCATTTGTCATCTGCTTTCCATAAATATGATGACTGAGTTGCTGAATCTTGAGTTAGTGATCATACTATGGTCCATTTTTTCTATTCTTTCTGGCTATATTTTTCTGTGTTCACAAGACATTGTTCTATTTCAGAGCTGTGTACTGAGGTCCTATGTTTGAGTCTCACTGTGGTGTACTATAAAAATTTCTCTTTTTACTGCTTTGATTCGGGAAGGAGTCAGGCCAGCACTTGATTGGGTTTGTGCTGCACTCTTTGATAGCTTGAATTATTAGATGAAATGGTCACACTTAAACATTATATTTGCTGGTTGCCAACTTGCTCGAACCTGGAACTTAAATTCCATCACTTATAATTTTATTTGAGGTTATTTCTCAAGAAATTTTGTAGATCAAATATTGTTTATGAAATATATACAGTAGGATCTAAGCAATAGCTAGTAGGGAACAACAACAAATACATTGTAATTTCAGAAGTGGGATTTGAAAAAAGGTAGAGTTTATGTAGATCTTACTCCTACATTGTAGAGATAGACAAATTGTTTCCAATAGACAGTAGGGAACAGTGTTAGTTCTAAAGTCATCAAGAAATAAATATTTAAATAGTGAAGGAAGGGAGCATTTAAATAGACTAAAATGTTGCTCCATTTGGATTGTACAAACATTTCAACACTCCAGAAGTAAATTTTTTAAAATTCACCAACTACTCAAAGAGAGCCTCTGTCGGGGGTTCGTCTTTGCTGACCGTTTATTTGCTTTTTGTATCAATGATTCACGGGAATCACATTATTTGGACAAAATAATCAATTTAATATCAAGAATTATAAATGAAAGGGATAATAAATATTCTTTTGGTATAACTATTTCGATAAAGTAATAGTATTAATTTGAATTTAAATTGCATAGTAATTCAGAATGACTTTCTCAGCCATGCCATGGTCATTTGTCAATTACGTATGCCAGTTGGTCATGAACTTGAAAAGACAGGTTGCTTCCTACAGTGGTGCACTCTTACAAGTAGGTGAAGGAAAGTAATACTAATAACAACAATAATATACATAGTATAATCGTATTAAGTCTGAGGAGAATAGTATGTATGCATATCTTACTTCTCATTTAGCATTTAGATGGATTCATTTTTAATAGACCTTCAGCTCAAGAAAAAAAACATATCAAAGTAGTTTGTGAAAAAAAAAATAGAAATGAAGAAGCCACGATAAAATACTAAAGCATTATGAATGAATAGTATCTACAACAAATTAGTACTAAAGTACAGATCAAAGAACAAGAAACTAGAAGAGTAATGTTGCAACTAATAGTACAAAATAATAAGTGAGACAACGTTCAACTATCTACTAACCTTTTATCCTAATTCATATCTTATCTTTCATAACTTTTTATCAAAATCATATCTTCGATAAGTTAAAAGGTTGCATCATGTTCGTCTAATCAACTCTTCCTATAAATAAATATATGATAGAAGGCACATCTCCTTTTAGATATAAGTTACCAAAATTGATCTTACTATTAACAATTAATGTGAAGTAGTTAGAATGGACATCTCCTTTTAGATGAACCAAATTCCAGTGGAACCCATTTCAGTGACTCCACATGCTTTTTGCACAAAAAAAGTGCATGATGTCAAAAAGTTCCCCTTTCAATACTTCATCTTTTTTTTTTTTTTTAAATATACTCCCCCGGTTCATTTTTATTTATCACTTATATCTAAAATAGATTTTCATTTTTCTTATTACTTTTGACATATCAAGAAATTTTTTTTTTTTTTTTCATATTTTACCCTCAACATTAAATACTTATTCTCCAAATTATTTGTCAAAACCTAATACTCTACTAAAATATGAATAATTTGATAAAATACTTATATTAGTAATTATTTCCTTGATAGATATGTCAAGTCAAACACGATATTTCTTTTTGATTGTCCCCTTCATATCCTTTGCACCCGGCGCAATTTAGCTGTATCATTCTCCCCTCTTTAACTCTCTCACAAGTCTTATTCCACTTTCTACAACATCATATATCCTTCTTTACCCCTTTCTCTCCACTTTGCCTTTACTTTCTTTCATTTCTTGACAAACTTATCTCTCCAAAACAACATGGCAAACAACACCACCCACAGGCGCATTTTAGCAGCTCCAGACCATAATCCTAAAACTTCCATTTCCATGGATCCCACTCTCAAAAAGCAACCAAAACCCACCCCCTTTACCTCCAAGAGTACTATAGACAACATCTCCAATCAATTTTCCCATCTCAATGCAAATCACAAAATCCTTAAATCTGGGCATACATCATATTCACTTGACACACACTTAAAGCCCAAATCTTGGACTGGTTCATCAGTTCTTGATTCCTCATGCTCAGGTCTGACCAAGTCAAAGAGCCAACAGGGGAAAACAGAGGCAATTATCAAGAAAGTACCTCAAAAGGGTAAAGAGTTTCACAAAGAAGTAGATGTTAAAAGGGCATTTGTTAATTTGTCTAAAAGTCAAGAAATTGAAAGGTTCAAGGGGTTTGATGAGATAAAAAAGCAATCTTTATCAGTATTATTGAAGAATAGTGGAAGGAGGAAATCATTTTGTGGTTCAAAAATTGAGTTGACTGATTTCTTTTCTTGTAGTGGTGTGAAAGTTATGTCTGTAGACATGCCACCATTTATGCAGATTCATGCTGTCAATTGTGCAAGAAAGACTCGTGATAGCTTGGAAAAGTTTACATCTAAAGCTCTTGCACTTACCCTCAAAAAGGTATACTCTCGGTTTTAATTTATTTGTCTGGTTTTAATTTATCAGAAGTTTTAAAATGTCATTTAATCTTGTTACTCTAAATAGTTGTCAAAACTGAAAAGAAACAACAACATACCTCGAGAAACTTGTTTCCGAAACATCCTATGCTCAAAAGAAAAAGAAACATTCGGAATTAAAAAAAAGACAAACAAATTAAAATAAAGTGAGTAATGTTAAATTATGCATTTTTGGTTGATTTTGAGATTTGGGTTTTGAATGAAGTGATTTATTGGATTGAATGTGGTTTCTGTAAAATTTTCAGGAATTTGATCAAGTGTATGGACCAGCATGGCATTGTATAGTAGGGACCAGTTTTGGTTCTTTTGTAACACATTCTATTGGTGGTTTCATGTATTTTTCTATGGATCACAAGATATATGTACTCCTTTTCAAGACTACTGTACAAAAAGAAGAATCTAGTTTAAAATCTTGAGGTGAAATATAGACCAAAGTTTTGGTAAAAATGTGCTGTCTATGTAGTTTATTGTACATTTGTTAAGGAAACAATCAACTGCAGTTCTATTATAATTTCTATACGGTACGTCAGTTCAATCTCGCTTCTATTATGAGAAAAGATATTTATTCAGAACATGGATTCTTGCACAGTACATACATATTAAATAAATTCATATTTAATGAAAAAATTTAGTAACGCAATGTAAGGATTAGTGAGGAGGTAAGCATTGTAATCATTGATGAAGCGTCAAATGTTTACCCAAGTGCTTGCCCTAGTTGAGGTTAAGATGCGTTTGATCATGATTTATTTTTTTTTAGAATTGGACTCCAAAAAATACATCTGGTCATAAAATCTTTTTCACAATTTTTAGAAATTCAAAAATCACCAAAAAAATGTTGACTTTAAATTACTTACAAACATTAAAAAACAACTTCAACATTTCAAATATTATTTTATCCCTTTGAAAACAAAAACTATTTTTTTTCAAATCCTCACAATTTTCATGGCCATCTATCTTTGTCATTACAAAAATGATAAAACGAAATTTATCTTTATTTATTAGTATAAGAAATTGAGCCTTTGGTTTAAGTATCTCCAAAATGAAGAAAACATCAGTATTAAATTCAAAATAGCAGCTGCAACAACATGAAGTCGCTTTGGCCGAGTGGTTAAGGCGTGTGCCTGCTAAGTACATGGGGTTTCCCCGCGAGAGTTCGAATCTCTCAGGCGACGTTTCCTTTTTTCACTTTTGCCATCTGTTTTTTTATTTACTACTGGCCGACAACACAAAGTTGATGGCAAGCACGCTTCACTTTTAACTCTAAAGTAATGAGTTCGAGTCATCAAGAAAGCAAAAGGATGGTAAACACGCCTCACTTTCTATTCTAAAGCTATGAGTTCGAGTCATCAAGAAAGCAAAAAAAAAAAAAAAGGAGCATGAGCTACTATGGAGGGGTAAAAAAAGATATTCGTTGACCTTGTATATTGGCTTATACATAAATATGTCCTTTAACTTGGTCTCATTTTACATTTATGACCTTCAATTTTGGGTATGCATAAATAAATACTTAAATTTGTATAAAATTGAACAAATGAACACACACGTCCTACATGACATCTTCATGACAATTTGTGTCCTACATGGTATCGTACGTGTATTATGTCATATAGGACTCATGTGTCTACTTGTTCAACTTTATATAAATTTAAGTGTCTACTTGTGCACACCTAAAGTTGGAACTCTTTCATTCAAATAGACGCCCATTACCACTATGCCAAAGGCATATCTTTTGTCAAGGGTGTCCAACTTTAAATATATATCTTTAAACGTATAATTTGACGACGTAATTTTCCGACAAAGAGTGTCTAGTTGGACACCTTGGGGTGGATATAGCTACGTCTCTGATGAGGCTAATGTCATAAAACAATGTATGTAATGCATTATACAAATAATTGGAGAGTGAAATTTTGAACATCTTTATTCACAAATACTTTGTAAAATGAATAAAGATAGTAAATGAAAAAGTTCACTTGTGCATTGACTTGAGCGAAGATAGAGGACTACCACTAGTTCAGGTAAATAATCAACCAAACAATTTTAATTTCTAAAACCAAAAAAAAAAGTAATTTTTTTTCTGTATATAGCTGAAATGAATGCCATTATCTCACTTTTTTGAAACCTTTGAATCATCAATTCAGTTTTGTACATAAACAATGCAAATGCAGGAGCCACAAAAATGGAGATCATGATCATCTGTTGTTAATTTTAATTTACCAACCAAGATCATGATCTGGGGTTAATTTGAATCTTGGGTTGTTTTAGATTAAACCTTTAATGGCTTCAGGTTCATTCAAGTGCTTTGTTGATAAAAAAATGGGCAAATTTGCATTTTTCTTCTTATATGCTATTCTTGAATGGGTGTTGATCATTGTCCTTTTTGTTGATGGTTTTCTTGCATTCTTTTCCAATGAATTTGCCAAGTTCTTCGAATTGAATATCCCGTGTTTGCTTTGCACGAGGATTGATCATGTTCTCGTTAATAGGAACTCGAGTTTCTATTACAATGAATCCATTTGTGAGGTTCATAAGAAGGACCTTTCTGCACTTGCATATTGTCATGTTCATAAGAAGCTCTCTGAAATCAAGAATATGTGTGAAGGCTGTCTTTTGTCATTTGCAACAGAGAGAGATGCTGATTGTGAGAGGTACTGCGACTGTCTTATCTAAAAGCTTAATTTCTTAAAAGACACATTTTTGTTTACTTAGTTGTTGTTTTTTTCAACACGTCCTGTCATGTGTAGACCATGTCTGAAGTATCATGTTAAGTATCTTTATGTGTTTACTTTTTCATGTATTTGAATTCTCTTAGTGAAAAATCCTGACTCTGCAATTGTACTGTAGGCCTGATTCTTTTATGAATTTTGGTAATGGTAATGGTAATGGTGATATTTTGAGTCGAAACTCTACTTACTTTTGATATAATGTTGAATTGTGTGACCATCTCATCTGTTTGAGAGAGAGAGCGCGCTTGTTTAATTAGTTATGTTTTCAACAGGTATAAATCACTAGCTGGGGTTTTGAAAAAGGACATTGATTGCTTTGCTGGAGATGATGCAAGACTTTCTGTGAGAACAGGTAAGAAGGAACTAGATGAGGCCATCCAAATTGAGAGGGGCGTAGTTGCGAGGTGTTCTTGTTGTGGAGAGCCTCTAAAAATGAGGTCAAAATTTGCCAGGAATGCGTCGATAAATGGAAGGTCTTATTCTCAAGCTCCTGCTCCATCTCCTCGCGCTTCTCCTAGAGCACCGTTATTAGGAGCATGGAGAAATATTGAGGAAGTACGCCATCTAGAATCGCCTCGCAGTGTTAGGTACACGGAGCTCAAGTTCACACAAGATGATGAAGGCCCCTCACATGGAGGTGACTCTACTAATTGTCTTTGCAATCTTTTCATTCATGTCAGTTATTTCCTCATCATTCTTTGCTGTTTAACAATAGGAAAAAAAAAGCCTTTTAGTTTTGTCTGGTTTGAGATTGTATGTCAGCAAAGGCGGAGCTAAGATTTTGAGTTTATGGGTTCAAGATTCTAGAAACCGCAACTCAAGTCATTTATACATTATAAGTGGATTTTTAAACACAAATATCGGGTTTGAGCCAACGCTAGTAGGTTCTGCTGAATCGCAGGCAAAGTTGTAGCTCCACCCCTGTATGTCAGTGTAAATATGTAAGTGTGAGACACAAATACTTATGACAACTTAATGCATTGCAGGTAAAGAGGATGTGAAAGCTGCTACTATGCCATTGCTACCAGATTCTGAGGACACACATATTGATTCCTCTTGCAAAACTCCAAATAATACAAGAAACAGATTTTTTGGTATCCCATTATCAGACTCAGCTCAAGCAAGTCCTAGGTTCTCTCATCATAGGCCAAGGAAGTCATGGATTAGTGATAAACTTGACTTCACTTCAGAGGCTAACGACATGAATAGTGTACCGAGTGATTTAGAAGAAGACGTCTTGAATCGCTTAAAGAAACAGGTCCGTTTGGACCGTAAGTCTCTTGTGGAACTATACATGGAATTGGATGAAGAAAGAAGTGCTTCCGCTATTGCAGCTAATAATGCAATGGCAATGATCACTCGTTTGCAAGCGGAGAAAGCAGCTGTTGAAATGGAAGCCTTTCAGTATCAGAGAATGATGGAAGAACAAGCAGAATATGACCAAGAGGCTCTGCAGTTCATGAACGACGATCTTTTAAAGAAAGAGGACGAGATGAAGCTCTTACAAGTTGAACTCGAAACTTATAGGGAGAAATATGGACTTATAAAGACAATAGGTAGTGAGGTTTGTGAAGTTGATGATGATGAAGATTATCAAGAACTGAAATCTCAGTGTTTATCATCTATTAGTGAGAGATCAGATTGTGCCAGCCCCTTTGAAGCAGATCATCATAGAGTAAACGAGCGCCTTTTTGAATGTCCCGGGGAAAATGGAGGGGTGAATGTGGAAGAATCACAACTTGATTTTGAGAAACAAAGATCATATCTTATGGGCTTGTTGACGGATGTCGTAGAGAAAATCCAAATATCTCCTGAAGAAGGACCTCATACATTAGAACCAAAGATGACCGAGCAAAGAGGTACATGAACCTATTTCTTTTCATCATTTCATTTCGGATTTACACTCATATATATACTGACGGTGCAAAGAAATTTTACACTATTGGTGCAATTTAACTTGTTATAGCAGTTATCCTCTTACTAATTATGTATTATAAAACCAGTGTGGAGAAGTTAAACACTTCCATTTTTTGTTTCAAAGACTGCATATACACTAACCTTAGTTTTCAAATGCTGATAGCTGGAAATGAAAATAAGGTCGCTCTTACAAGAGAAGTGTCGTTAATACGAGAGAGGTTGAGAGCCATAGAAGCAGAAAGTGGCTTCTTAAAACATGCTGCCATGACATTACAGAGTGGTGATGAAGGAAGCAAACTCTTGACTGAGATAGCTCAACATCTGCAGAATCTTAGACACACGTCTAATACCTCATCGGAGTATGCAGATGCAGGGCGTCAATCCAATTAAGGTGATTTCTCTGCAGTAAATTCCTTCTTTGTCTACATTGATGTTGCATTTTCCTCCCGGAGGCACTACAATTTCTTTGAGGAGGATAAATGGGAAGAACTAACATAGATAGCAACGAATCATATAAATGTTGCAGGGCTGATTTCTTGGTCACTCAGGTTAATAGTTATTATCTCAGAAAGTCACTTTGCTTCTTGATTCGATTTTTCTGCAACAAAAAGAAAGTGACTTTCCAAGATAATAACTATTTGTTGAGTGAGAAATCAACTCCAATTTCAAAAAATAAGTTTAATGCTCCTTTTAGCCTACAACTGAACTCTAGTGGTGACCCCAACTCGCTTGGAATTGAGGCGCAAATGATGATGTTGTTAACAAAACTTTATTGATAATGCATTTTCAGTTGTGGAACACATTTAACCAAATGCATTTGCAGGTGAAATTGGCATGGAACCAGACAACTCTGATATAATCCAACAAGCTTTTCACCTTAGCTTAGTCCAAATGGAACAAATCGAGATCAAGCCATGAATCGATTGGACCTGCCAATTGAATGACTTGTAACACTCGTACGTGATGATCCACATTAAGAAGATCCCATTAGATTCCGGAAGCCAGTCGAGTGAAGAATGAAGAGCTAATGTTGTTAAACAGTATATATGTAAACATACATACATAGTTTTGCATTTATATTACACACACATCTATGATCTATCTATGGATAATGAAAAACTCTCATGGTTTTGATTCTTACAAATGAGAACTTTCAAATAGGTTGTGACTATTTGCAAGGTTCAACTTCATAGTGCCAACTAATCCAAGTGATAGTTCTGGCTTATTTTATTGAATGAACTACCAATGCATTTGCTCCTACATTTAACTTGAACTCGATAATTTGTAAGAATCAAATTTACTCTTCTCTCTCGTAGTAGGTTTTTCTTTTGAAAAAAAGGGGTTATATCGTTCAAATTATGACAATTTGATACTAGATGTAATTTCCGTTAGGGCAAGATAACGGAACATATACATTACATAATTTGAGGGCTACACTTAATAGTAGGAAATAATCGACTAGAGTTTATATTTCGTCCATTTTGAAAAAGAATGAAGGAGTTTCGCTCCAAGATTTAAAACTTCGACGTTTATTTACATAATTAAAAAATACTCTTTTAACATATTATATATATTTAAAAGAAATTTTGATCATATACAACATAGAGAAGACAAAAAAGAACTTGGTACACATGTGATTTTTTTTTACATTGTATAGTTGCCCACCAAAATAATAGTCGATAAATATAGTTATTTTTTATATCATTATATACATACTTATTTTATACGTTACAAATATATGTTTTCTTACATATTTGACTAGCGACTATAATTAACTTTTGCGAGCCGCCGAATTAAAAAAAGAAAAAACCTAAAAAATAAAGAAGTAAAAACACCAACATTGAATATTTATAGTCTTTTTTCCTTGAATATTCATTTGAGGACCAATACAAAACTAAACTAGGATTAATTACTCTTTACATTCAAAAGTTCTTCCCCCTTTCGACCAATCGAGTAGTCACTGTAAAATTTCGTCGAACAGTTGGGCTACACATCCATTTCCGTGCTTTGCTCATTCACTGACACTTAACGCAAACCTCTCTAAGGAAAGCGCCAAAAGAGAAGTCTTATCGATATACTCTGTGTATACGGAACTACAAAACCAACAACTCCTAATTCAAGCGGCGATTTATAGAAGTATTGTGTGTGTGTTGCCGATTCAGAACTAGGAGTTTGGGGAGATTTTTTTTTTTTGGGAGTTGAAGTGAAGAACTATGGAGCTACAGAGCACAGTTAAAGAAGCCCTAAATGCACTGTATCATCATCCAGACGACGCCGTTCGAATGCAGGCCGATCGATGGCTACAGGATTTTCAACGAACTATTGATGCTTGGCAGGTTTGATAATTTTTTCTTCCTTTTTATTGTTGGATCTTTTTTAAGTTTAATCAGATGGGTTCAGTTATTTAGAGAAGTGGGATTTGGGTTTTTGATTTTGAGTGTGCCATTACTGAGCTGATCAAGAGTTTTTTATTTTTATCAAGGGGGCAAGAAAAAAGCAATTTTTTTTGCAAAGTTACTGTTTATAAAAAAGAAAAGGAATTTTTTATGATTGACCCGAATGGAATCCAACTGATTTGGGATTGTGGCATACTTGATTGATTGATTAATTTTTATTGCTTGAGTTTCATTTGTACAGTTTCAATTGAGTCTGTTAAATCAATAGTGGTTTCTTTATGTTGCTGCAAAATGCAGTCCTTTTTTCCAAGAAGGCGACAACGTTGCACCATTGGGATACTTTGAATAAACTTGAGTGCATATAGGAAGACTATACTATAATGGGATTACTATTAACTTTGGTTGGCTCAGGAAATGGAAGATGTGTTTTCTGTGGTGATTGATGGTTGGATTTGAGGAGGGATCATTGGTCAATAAGTAGTCCTTTGAGTTCAGCAGCATAGAAGCCAGCACTTATTTCTGTATGCCAATCAAGTTCAGTATGGCAATATTTCATGTCTTATTAAGGTATCCAAATAGCAGTTTTAGGGTATTTGGAAGGACTTGCATGTCCAATAGAAAGAGAATGTAGATACAGATTTGATTCGGGTAATTCATATCTATCTCAAGCAAATTATTTTAAGAGCGTATCAAGAGTATTCTGGTAGTGTCTGAATTTTGCTGTCATAATGGTTACAGAATTGATGGGAAAAAAGGAAGTGCATCATTAATATGTATGTGGTACCCATAACATGGATTCATTCATAATCAATGTCTGTTTAACATGTGATGGCGTATCACAGGATGGTAAAAAGTTGTTAGCCAATCATGTCTGACTACTGCCACTTCCTTGATGACTAATGGAGACCACTCGATTCCAGTCTGATTTGTTTTGTCCGACTTCAGGAGCATGAATGCGACAGTGTCTACTATTCTATAGCAGTTTTTGGATGTTTGGAAGGACATGCATGTCCAATAGAAAGAGAACATAGGTAGAGATTTAATACGGAAAATTCATATCTATCTCAAACAAATTATTTAAGAGTGTGTCTAGAGTACTCTGATAGTGTTTTAATTTTGCTGTCATAATGGTTACAGAGTTAATGGAAAAAAAGGAAGTGCATGTCCATCATTAATATGTATGTGGTACCCAAAACATGGATTCATTCATAATCAATATGTTTCACATGTGACGGCGTATCACAGGATAGTCAAAAGTTGCTAGCCATGTATGTCTGACTACCACAACTTCTTTGTTGACAAATGGAGACCATTCGAGTCCAGTCTGATTCTAGGAGCATAAATGCGACAGTGTTTACTATTCTATAGCAGTTTTTGAGCATTTGGAAGGACATGCATGTCCAATAGAAAGAGAACGTGGGTACATTTTTAATTCGGGAAATTCACTCTTTTTGTCCATGCGAAAATTCCTTTCATTTCCTAGCCTATTCAATGTGGACATGTATGTAATAGAATTCAATGGGTAGACCTCCTAGTTGGGCCGGTATAGATCTCATGAGACCGCCCCATTACTGAAAAAAGCATGTGGATCTTAAAGTCGTGAATTTTTGATGGCCGGTAGTTGTTTACTACCTGTTTATTAGTGCCAACTCCGCTATATCTATCTCAAACAAATTATTTAAGAGCTAAGTTGCGGACACTCTTCACTTCGGCTCCGCACCCATACCGACACGACATGTTTGTGGGTGTGAGTGCGGGATCCATACTGGAAATAGCTCATCGATTTTGCGTCCTTTGGCCAAAATTGATAGAGAGATTCGAGACAGATACAATGGTTTCTGAAATCAAAACAAAAGTTAGGGTGAAATCATTATTTAGGCATATGTTTTTTTGTATCGTAAAAGATATTTGTATTAAGAGTCTGCAATTATAAAACACTTGAAAGATATTTATAGGTCAACGTAGTTATTGAATGTGCAATGAATTCAAGAAGTGTATCATGGCCTCTATATCATTTGCAATAGTCATGTTACACCAATAGAATAATACAGATATTCATTTGTACTTAATAATATATAGATTCAAAATTGCTCTCAAATATTCGTGCAATACTTTCCTAATAATTGTCCACCGTAATTTAAGGATAGTTTTATAACTCTATTTTAGATAGTTGAATATTTTTAACCAAATCCCGTACCGTGTCCATACCTGAATCTGTACCCACGAATCTTAAAATTTAAATTGTTATCTTCCCTCTACATCCACACTCATAACGGGCACCCATGTCCGAGCAACTTATTGTAAGAGCGTATCAAGAGTATGCTGGTGGTATGCGTCTATGCGAGTTTTGCTGCCATAATGGTTACAAAGTTAACGGAAAAAAGGAAGTGCAAGTGCATCACTAATATGTTTGTGCTATTCATAACATGGATTTATTAATAATTAATGTCTGTTTCACATGTGCTGGCGTGTCACAGGATAGTAAAAAGTTGTTGGCCAATTATGTCTGACTACTACAACAGTGACAAATGGAGACCATTTGTGTTCAGTCCGATTTGTTTTATGTCTGATTTAAGGAGCATAAATGTGACACTGTTTACTACTCTATTTCTGTTTGTTGACTTAAATGTGACTGATTGCCTTGACCATGTAGAAGAAGCAAATAACTAGCCTATTGTCGTGATTAGTCTGCGTGCTAGGAGAAAAGGTATGTCGAGCACATTAAGTGACAAGGGGGATATTGTTCTGTAAGCAGTTTAATTATATGCAATATAGTCTCCTTTTCAGCTGCTATTTTTTAGGTTCATGAGATTTATGTGCCCATACCTGACATTGATGTTTCTTTTAGGCTGCCTCACATAGGCACAAAGGATATAACTGAGTCATACGGTTGGGTCGACCCAACTAGTTTTTGGAATGGGATGTAGTTGATAGATTGGTTTAATGTTTGTGAGATTGAGGTGTACATTGTTGTTAGCTTCTGTTTATTTTAGCGCTCTCTCTCTCTCTCCCTTTCTTTTCTGTAATCTGACTGGATATAATGGTGCTTGTCAATTTACTAAGTTTCTTGTATTTGATTAGGTGGCTGATAATCTGCTTCATGATGCATCTAGCAATCAAGAAACTTTAATATTCTGTTCTCAAACTCTCAGAAGCAAGGTAATCTTTATACTGAGTGTCCATGGAAGTCTATTCACTTATCAGTTTCTCTATGATGTATTTACAAGTAAAAACTACTGAAATGTTCGACTAAAAGATATCAGTTTCCATCTGTCTGTATTTTCTATCAGCAATTTAATACAGGCATTTTCTATCTGATTTGGTAGGTTCAACGGGATTTTGAAGAACTACCTTCTGAAGCTTTTCGTCCTCTACGGGATTCTCTGAATGTGAGCGAGTTTATCATCTCGACATAATTAATATTTACAACTCGGATGTCTGATAATATTGAAATTTATCAGTTTCGTTCATATTGCCAGCAGATAGGTTACTTTTATTAGCAACACAAAATTGTGAATCAAATCTGTAGATAACTGTTGCCTGCACGATGCTTGTAGCCTAGTAGGTGGGATTAAGTTGATTCCTCTTCGTCCTTCATGGAGTATAAATTGTGTTTTGGCTTCTTTTGTGTTATATAAGGTACATATTAAGTACTAACAATATAAGGAAATAGGTCCTAGGGATAAATGCTTGT